ATTTTATATTTTGTTGCTATTGTGAATGGTGTGTTTTTCTAGTTTCTCAGAAAAAAAAAAATTAGTCTATAGAAAAGCTACTGATTTTGTGTTCTGAAACTTTTCCATGAATATTTGTCAAACCTAAGAATTTTCTGTTGAAAACTCTAAGGTCTTTTACACATATTCAAGCCATCTGCAGATAAGGATAATTTGACTTCTTTATTCTCTACTTATACCTGTTTTCATTTCTTTTTCTTGTCTTTTGCTCTGGCTAGGACTTCAATCTCTATACAGAATAAGAGCAGAGAAAGTAGCTCCCCTCACCCTGTTCTAGATTTTGAAGAAATGCTCTCAGTTTTTGCCTGTTTAGTATATTGTTGACTATTGGTTTAGCACATGTAGTGTTTATTACGTTGCGGTATGCTCCTTCTAAATTACTTCAGGACTTTTATCATGAAGGCGTGTTGACCTTTGCCAAATGCCTTTTCTGTACCGATTGAGATGATGGTATGTCTTCTGTCCTTAAGTCTATTTGTGTGGTGTACAGAATTTATTGATTTGTATATTCTGACCCAAACTTGCATCTGTGGTGTGAAACTGATCTGGTCATAATGTATGACCTTCTCAATGTGTTCTTGAACTCAGTTTGCAAATGTTTTATTGGTAGTGTGTGTGTGTGTGTGTGTGTGCACACGCGCATGCGTGCATGCATGTGTTTGTGTGTGTGTGTGTGTGTGTGTGTGTATTCACTGAGAAAATTAGCTTATCGTTTTAATGTTTGTTGTGTCCTTATCTGTCTTATCTGTAATACCGGGTTTGTAATGAATTTTGTAATGCTGTTCCCTTTCTCTCTTGGGAACAGTTTGTAGAACGCTTGGGTTACTCCTTCCATGGTCTGGTAGAATTTGACAGTGACCCTAGAAGTTCCGGCCCTTTCGTTATTGAGAGGCTCTTTGTTGCTACTTCCATCTTTGATCTCTTAAATGTGTACATCGGAGTTCTTGGAAGTTTTGGTCATGTCTGTTCATTTTCGTCTTTGTGGATATATAGCATGACTTTGTTCTTCCTCCCTGAAACTCAGTCTTCAGCTTGCTCTTTTCCGTTACTGACACTATACACTGTGATTTTTTTTTAATAAAGTGTGTGTGTGTGTGTGTGTGTGTGTGTTGTCATGCATGTTGTCTGTTGTCCGAGTGCTGGTACATGAGTGCCACAGTGCAGGTAAGGAAGTCAGAGAACACCTCTTGGGGAGCTGGTTATCTCCTGTCATCTTGTGAGTGGGTTCCAGGGATCAAACTTGGAGTGTTGGTTCTGCACACAAATGCCTGTGCTCACCGAGACGTCTCAACAGTCTACCCACTGTCTTTTTAAATTTGATTTATCCATCCTTTCATTTTTAAAAATTTCTGTTTGGTTCTTTTGTAGTATTTCTATTTCTTTGCTGCTATTTTTTTTTCTCCGTGGTTTTGAATTTCTCTCCTAAGGTGCTGACTGTTTTTGTTTGTTTGTTTGTTTGTTTCGATCCTTATTTGATTTCTTTATTGCTTTGGGCAGCAGGAGCAGGGAGGCTTTGTATGGTTAATTACGCTTTGTGAGGTTGGACTCTGATCTTCTAGCACTTCAGCTACTTCATTTTTATTTAGGTTGAGGAGCTGTGAGCTAGCGCACACACCGTAGAGGGTTGTGTCTCGTAGTTTTTGTGGTTCTTTGTTGTGCCTTAGGCATCTTTTAGGGTAGGTTAGTCCTTCTGTTGTTATTGTTTCCTGTTTTCCCTACCCCTCTTGTTTGTTTGCTCCATTTTATGTGAGTCTTCCTGGTGAGTCATCTACACCGTTGTTATTAAGGCGGGAAGCAACTGCAGTACCATACATGATTTAACAGCTGCCCTGGTATTGGTTTGCAGAAGACATTTGTGTACTTTGGAGGTGTCCCTGATAAGCTTTAGATACAATGTTATTGTGTTTGGGGCAAGTGTGGTTTATTTATTATTATTATTATTATTATTATTATTATTATTATTATTATTAATTTAGAGCTGACGCTATCAATATGGAACTGGTGAAATGGGGAAGAAATGGGGAAAGGAGGAAAGAGACAGTAAGTTTAGAATGAAAGGAAAAGACACAAGTTTGAGTTTTAAGGAACAGAAAAAAGTTCTGTGGGCATATCAGTCTCCACACGTGGGGAGGGGGCTGCTAGTGTCAGCGGTTCAAACAAGGTAAGTCAAAGTGTCCTTCCACAAGAGAAATACCTTCACCGCTGAAGTCCCCTCTGCCAGCATTCTGTGCTCTGAGGCCTCCTGCTGCAAGCTACAACCTTGCCTGTGATGTTTTAAGGACTGGGCCTTGGATGTCAGGCTCTGGGATGTGAGGCCCGCACACACGAGCTTACCTTTGTGCACCATCAGGGCACTGAACCAGGTCCCACAGCAAACTCCACAGTGGCAGGCAGGACGGTTGTCTTCTCTGGCAGTATCCCTTTGTCTTCAGCCTCTCATCTCAGAGTTACACCAACCAGGATGTGCGCACGCCCTATCCAGCCTCTGGTTGTGTCTCCAGAACCTGGACTCCCTCTGTCTGGCTCTCGAGGTATCCGCCTATATCAGTTTGCAGTTGGCCAGCAGGAGCAGAGCTGTGGTTGATACCAGGGACTCGGCTCCTTCTTCGTGGAGAAACTCCCATCTTCTTTCTGTTTTCTTTAGAACTATTTCCTCTTATGTATGAATAGATCTATTGTGGTTTTGATCTGGTTTTCATCTGTGCACAAACAGGCAGCGTCTAATCTGACACCTTGCCCAGAAGTTCTGGAATTTCTCTTTAAACATTCAGCCATTGGCTCCATGAGCCAGTATAGTCTGGTTTCGGCTCACCACTGACTCTGGGCCCTATGTGGGCTAGTCGTTAGGGAAGGAAGGCTGGACAGGGCAACAGGACAGGGAGCTGGACCACAGAGGAAAGTGAGGCTGATGTAAAGCTATGACTCGTCATAAGGACATGGGGTAGAGCACAGACGCCGTCTCAGATAGGACTAGACACAAAAATTCATGAGTGCAGTCAAGTGGGTGGAGGGACGTGGACACTCAGGAGATTGGGGAATCCAGGCTAGATCCCAAGTTAACTGAACATGGCAGACGAGTCTTCCCCCACAGCACCTAGGTACACCCAAAGACTAGGTGCATATAGGGGCATACCTCCCTCTAATGGTCATTTCAAGAACTGCAGTAATGCCTCATTTCTTTGCCCTCTGAGCACCCCCAAGGCCTTCAGGTGAGTCAGAGTGGTGAGGAGAAGGCAGGGAGAGGAGAGACATGGGGGGGGGGTTTAATTTAAAAGCATATTTGGAGGAGTATGTAGAAGAACACATTTCTGAGCTAGTAGCAGATAAATTGCCCACTTCCTCCTACATCTTCAGGCAATTGGGCTGTTCCTCACTTGGAACTTAAAAAAAATAAAGATGGAAAGGAAAAACAAAGAAGAATGAGCCCCAGGAACTGATGACAGTACCCAAAGCTGCCTTTGGGGAATCAGGGTGGCTACTGACTACTCCCCAGGTATCACAGGAAGTAGGCTCATGCCCCGCCCTCACCTCCCAGCTTCTGGGCTGGACGACTCCTTAGGAAGGGTTTAGGGAACCAGACAGGGAGGCTCACAGGACAAGGTAAACTGATTCCCACTTCCGTGCTGTCCTAGACTCCACCATTCAGGCTGACTTCTGAAACCAGCCCTTCTTGCGGGTCCCTGTCTACCCTCCCTTCCCTTTCAGAGAAGAGCCCTGTCATGGGTCGTCTTGGACAATCCAGAGGTGGGCAGTGGTGGTCCTACAGTAGGACCAGCTGAAGGCGAGCGAAGGTCTGGACGTAGGGAGAGTGGTAGAGGGAAAGTCTGGGAAGCCACAGTACTTCTGTCTGCGGGAGCCGTGATGAGTTTGGTCAGCACGCAGAAACACATGACAGAGGTGAGGGTGAGCTCCACCTGACAGCCTTGGGATATGGTCTGTGGACGAGCCCCTGAAAACCCCAAAGATTTGAGATCAAGATGCATTTTTAAAGCTCATTTCGGCTCCTGTATCCCAGGGTCAGTGTGGAGTCAGGTAGGAGGTAGGGAAACTAAATCAACCGGGAGAAGCTGGAAGCGCAGGCGGGCATGGAAGCTTCTGGAAGGAGTGGTCTTTCTGGGTAACCTGAGTAACCTCAATCCGCAGAGAGGGCTGGGGGAACCTGACTCCGCAGAGAGGGCTGGGCGAATGAATGGTGCTGCAGTTTTAAGCGTGACCACGAGGGGAGGCATTCCGCCAGATTTCAGTACGTGGCAGCACGGTCCCGAGGAGCCAAGCTTGAATTAAGTCCTGGAAATGGGCAATGCTTAGAAGCTGCGTTTACTTGGCGTTGCTTTGCCACACTAGACCTCCATACCCACCCCCCTCCCCACCCACCCACCATTAAACGGAGCTCACACACTCTGGTTTGGAGTGAGGCATAAATTAAATAGCACTGGTTAAATGTCCAGACCAAGATCTGGTACTTGTTCCGTGCTGTGTGGCCGCTTGTGACGTCACTCCTCTGCGCAGGGGACAGTAGGGAGGGTGGTGGGAGAAGGATGGGTAGCCTCTCCCCTGCACCCAAAGATCCTGGCCCACAAGTACCACTTAGGACTGTCACAGAGATGACGCCAAACTAAGACACCGGACAAAACAAAACCAGTTTGTTCAAAGTTATTTATTTATTTCCACAAGGGCTTAGAAGCCTGTTTAAAATACACGGAACAAACGAACATGCCTTGGATCTATTTTTCAAAACAGGGAGAAAACACTCCTCAGCTAAAACAGTTATACTTCACATTGCAGAAAGTAATAAATAAATAAATATATAAATACATAAATAAATAAATAACCTCAATAGAATAAAATAGGAACATAATTAGGTAACGCCAAAGGACATTCCAGAAAGTAAATAAATTGATGGATAGTACATTTGATGCCATAGGGACATGGACCATGAGGGACGTTTAACCTCTAGTCGCTCAGCTGTTTTCACACTCCGTGGTGGGTGAAGATGTTGGATGACATGGTCTAGGGTTTGATAGTGGCTCCAGATTGCTCACAAAGAACCTCAGTTTCTGCTGAAAGTCAGTCAAATTGCCAATGAAGATGCCTGACTTCTGTGACGAACAGGAAAAGATGGTATTAGGGGCAAACAGGTTGCCGGGGGCCATAGCAAGCTCTAAGGTCGTGGGTAGGGACACCACCTGCAAAGCTTTTGGAGGGAAGCACGGCTTACCTCAGAAGTACCCATAGCTGCTGGCAGGCAGCACTCAAGCTTCTGTGGAGAGACACCAAGGCACAGTCAGACCCCTCTTAAAAGGAGAAGGTCCTACTTTCCTCCCCACTAAATGCTGGGAAAGGGGAAGGTGGCGATCCCGGAAACACTCAGCAGCTTCACACACCTGAAGATTGCTTTTGATACCAATGTTGTCCTCAGGATCCAGCTCCTGTTGCTTTTTCAGGAATTCATGCAGGTTTGCTCTCCGCAAGGTCTTATCCTAAGAGGGCAAAGAATCCTCCATGTAAGAGCTGGGGAAGTCAGAGCTGAGGAGTGTGAGAGCTGAGGATCTGAGCCCGCTGTTAGAGGTTTCTTTGAACAGCCTCATTCCTGGTCTCTTCCTTACCCTACACCTAAAAGCAAGTGCATACTCCTGGCAAGGATCTGCTTCTTCCTAGCACTAAGTCCTAACCCCTGGCAGCCTGTGGGTTGTGTGAAGGGCCTGGGCAGATCTGTCTATATATGAGTAAAACACATCTCCCCAGAGAAGCCCTAAAAAAGGCAGAGGCTTGGCCAAGGGAAGTACTTATGCCCAAGATGCCAGATACAAAGGTTAATGTTTCAACCTAACTAAGCATTTCTGGATACCTAGAAGAAAATCCTTATGGACCCCAGCATATTCCTAAGGAGGGGAAATGTAGACATCCAGCAAGCTTGAGGAAAAAAAAAAAAAAAAGATGAGACAGAACCATTGCATCTAACTGGAATTAGGAAAATAACTGCAAATGGTGATGTCTGGGGCTGGTGCAAGTAAAAAAAGACAAACTCTTTTTTTTTTTTTTTTTTTTTTTTTTAAGGAGGAGGAAAATCAAAAGACAGTCAAGGAGGGCAACTCATTTGCCAGTCCACGGCTTCCCTACTGAAAGTGGAGCCAGAGGCCTATGGCAGGGTTCACCCACAGCTGTCTTTTCATTGTATATCGTAAACTGTAACTTTCATTATTGCAGCCAAGGCTGTGGCATGCCAAGTGTGAGGCCTGGGTTGTCATTTGATGAGTTTCTTCACAACCCCACTGAGATAAGTGCAAACACTGAAGCAAGGCAGGGGGGAGTGACATGGCTGAAGTCACCCAGGCAGAAGACAGAGGGGACCCAAGAATGCCCCAAAGTGAAGCTCTTACCTTCAGTATTTGACTGTAATCACCATGAGTGACTGTGGATACCTGCTGGGACACGAGGAGAAAGAATCATGAAGCTTGTTGGCCTGAGGCACCTGTTGGAGCCAGCCTGCACCAGGCCAACCTCAACCTGCTACTCACTGGAAGCCTTCCTTGGATCTCCTTGGCAATAAATTTGCAATTCAATGTGCTGGTTGTGCCTGAGGGTGAGTGGTAGGTAGCTGAGCTCCTGACTGAAGCTTGGAGTCCTTGGTGGAGCAGCATCAGGAGCAGGAGCAGCGTGGAGAAGACGCTGGTGGTAGAGCTGGCAAGAACCATTGTCTCGTCCTGGTCCTTCCTTCAAGGAGTTCTGGGAGGACACAGTAACCTCCACCTTATATGTGCTCCCAACTTGTTGAGAGGGGCGGGGCGGGGGGTGGTGAGAGGAGCAAGCATCGGAAGGAGCTTTATCTCACCTCCATGGCAAACCACAGGCTTATTCATCACTTTCTAGTACTTGAGACCATGAGAAGCTGCTCATTCAAAGGCCATCTTCTTCCTTTGTCATAGAGATGGATGGAGTGGAAACAGGCGGTGGGAGTAGCTTGGCTCTGAGCCAGCTCAGGCCTTCTGTGCAGTGGAATCACATCCTAGCGTCCCTTGTACAAACCTGACCCTTACTGTATACCCTACCTGGTGGAGGTGGTCACTAGGGTCACTGGAGCAGCCTTGACCTTGGTGGGCATTCTGACACATGGTCAGGCATCCATGTGTGGGCTAGTGGCAGCTAGAGCTAGGTATCTCTCTAGGCAGTTCCCCCCTTGACCCTTATACCTGGCAGGGGGTGGGTGAAGTTCAGCCCACTCTTTCATTGGTCTAATTTCAGTGCAGTAGGGCAATGTGCCAATGCCCACATCTGGAGGACACAACCCTGCATAGAGACATGGCTGCAAGAGCTAGGCCATCCTTCTGATAGCACACATAGGCTTAGGATCCTGAGGACAGAGATGGCCCCTGAGAACAGAGTTACCTGGAGGAAGCATTTTACTGGAAGGTGTGGCAAGTGTCATAGATAAATCCTAGTGGGGGAGGGTAAGTGAAAAGAGGAGAGCAACTCCCTGAGGGAAAGTTATGCTGAGGAATTCATATCCCAGTCTCTGCTGGAGCATGAATACAGTGGATGCTGGCCTGCTGAGGTGGGAAGGGGACAGGAACAGTTATGGGGAAGCCATAAGGCTAAGGCAGAGGAAACTGAGTGCTTCTGTCCCAGAGCAAGAGCAAATACGATGAAAGATAAGGGTGTAACAGCAAGGGAGGCAAAGGCTTTAATTGAAGGGAATGGTGCCTACAACCCTTATACTCCCAGCCCAGACAAGCAGACCTTGTCCTAGGGGTGTGGACCTCTGGATCCAGATCAGCACATACTCCATAACTGAGGGGAATCTCTCTAGGCAGCATGGGGGGGTAGGACCAGTTTGGGTACCCAGGAGGCATTACTCTGCCGAATAACTTGTGTTAAGCAATCTCTGTATGCAGGCCCCATAGACAGAGCAGACCTCGGCCTCCAGGGAAAGGCAGATTAATGCCCTGTTCCTCTCCCAGTGGTCCTTGGGCTGACACTCTCTCAGCTTTCAGAACCAAAGAGAAGACCCTTGGTGAGATTTGAGGAGCTCTGATTTAAATCTACCAGTGCCTGTAACTCAGGCAAGGTCCCCAGAGACCAGGGACCAGGGCTTGTTTCCTGAACTCTCCAGTATGGCTTGCTGTTACTTTTGGTACAAGCATTTGGATGACCAAAACATCCACAGTGTATATGTGATTCCTCATTGAGGAAAAAAAAAAAAAATCTCTTTTTGTATTAGCAAGCTTTTTTCTTTTTCTTTTTTTTTTTTTTTTTTTTTTTTGAGAGAGAGAATTCAGAACAATGAAATTTGAAGTTATGGTGACTAACCATCCTTACTTATATCCTTTGCCTCCTTAAAACTCCTGGTTTTGTGCTGTAGCAAGGAAAACCACCAGCTGCGCTGTTGGAAGTGTAGCGACAGTGGGAGGAAGGGTTTATGATCCATGTTTATGAAAATGCCATAAAGAGACCTTCCCTTTTGTACAATGAATATATGCTAGTGCGTTTGTTTTTGTTTTTGTTTTTGTTTTTAATGACAGAGGCTGGGAAGATGGCTTGTAGGTTAAAGCACTTGACTCTTCAAGCACCCACATAAGAAGCCAGGCAGAGCCATGTGTGCCTGTATCCCCACTACCGTAAGCCAGAGACAGGAGGGTTACAGGGCTCGCTGGCTGCCAGCCTAGCTCCAGATGCAATGGGAGCTACCCCTTATGGAACAGAGTGATGGAGCTGGACATGGGAGGTCCTCCTCTGGCCTCATGTGTGTGTATTAGCATATGTACCCCCTACACACATGTACCCCGTCGCACGTGCACACACACATGCCACACGTGTACACACATACACACGTGTATAATCATGTTCCCCATATACCACACACACACAGAAAAGAAACATTTTTTTACAGTTTAAATTATTTTTTTATTAATTACACTTTATTTAATTTGTATCCCCCCTGTAACTCCCTCCTTCCTCCCCCTTCTCCATGCGTGCCCCTCCAGAAGTACACTGATAGGGGAGGTCTTCTTTTCCTTCCTTCTGACCCTAGCCTATCAGGTCTCATCAGGAGTGGCTGCATCGTCTTCCTCTGTGGCCTGGTAAGGCTGCTCCCCCTCAGGGGGCTCTTGAGGCTTCTGAAAGCAGCGGCACTGTTGCAATGGGGAAAAGCCAGCGGTCTTGGGCTAAGGAACTAGTGAGGTGGGAAGAAGAGCAGAGGACCCTTCGAATTTGTCCTTTTAAAACTTTTCTCAACTCTTAAATTTACCTTGTGTGCCACGTGCCCGCCTCAGAAGCCAGAAGAGGGTGTTGGTCCCCCTGGATTTACAGATAGTTGTGGAGGCTGAGAACTGAACCCAGGTCCTCTGCAAGGGCAACGAGTGCCCCTTACAGCCAAGCCATCTCTGTAGCCCTCAACTTGGTATTTTGAAGAGCAGAGGCGTGGGGGCAGCTAGCACAGCCGTGGAGGCAAAGAAGAACTTCTCTAGGCGGAGACACTTTATATCTGGTTGAGACCCGCTTGTGGTGCAAGATGGCTGGATGGCAGGAGAACACAACATGCCTGCTGGGACTTATGCAGGGAGGGTCCCCCATCAGAGGTCACACCACTGCAGACACCTTAGGACAAGGCTGCCTGTGAGAGTCCATCTGTCTGGCGCAGAAGGTGTTGGGGTCCTACGGATCAGGAGAGGAAAAATGTCCTCTCTGTCCTCTGTGTGTGACCCTGAGGTTGACGGGGCCAGGGTGGAACAGCAGGGTTGGATTGGTTGAGCTCGTTGTCTGGGGTGATCTTGAGGGGTTTCCACAGCCTAGTGTCAGAGAGTGAAGACCCAGGCCTCTGGTGGTAAGAGGAATTGGAAGACTCTTGAGGCAGGGTGCTGGGCCCAAGAGAATAGGCCACAAACGCATGAAGGGAGAGAACACCGTGCTCAAAGGAGGCTGATGTGGAGCAGACAGCTCCCAGGGTAAAACCTTTCCCTGCAAACTAACACCTGCCGCTATCCAATGAAAAACCCTATTCCTAAAAGCCAGTGTGATTATGAGGAGGCTACCAGCTACTGCCCCAGGCAGGTAGCTGGGTACCTGTCACCCCTGTGATGTCATCCTAGCAAGAAGCTGAGCCTGGGCCTCCCTGGGAATCTCCTTTGAGGTCTTAATTTACAGGAACAGCTTTGGTGAAATCACAGAAACCCACTTCCTCCTGGAAGAGAGTGATTCTACCACCCCTCACACATGCGTCAGCTCCGCCCAGGGAAGCTTCTTCCACAGGCGGGCTGATTACTATCTCCAAGTCCACAGCTTCACTGCTTTTGGCTAAGGCTTGCCTGGCAGAGAGCTTGGCTGGGCTGGGGCCCCAAAAGGGATTGTCTAGGGGCTGTAGCACAGAGGCCTTGGACATTCCACAGTCTTTAGGCCTTATCTGCCTGTGGTCTCCAGGCGCCATCTGTGTGATCTCTTTCCGCTTCACTGGGTCCGCTGTGTGACACAGGGTCAGGATTCTCACCCTTAGGGGCCCATTGTGACAGCAGAGTCACACCTGCTTCTTGCCGCCACCTGCCCCCGTAGCCCAGTGGAATTTTCTGAGGTACCCACCACTGACAGGGGCTCAGGCCTCAACTGCTATGACAAGCTCCCCTGCCAGTGTCTCCATGGCATCACAAGACAGATATTGTCTGCCCATGACCTCAGTTATGCTTCCGCTGGCAGCCCTGACCACATAAGCCTGGTTTTGTCTCTACAGCAGGCAGCTTGGGGCCCCAGGATGGCTCAGTGATAGTGTCATGAATCTTGTGCCCGCTCAAGTGAGGGGCTCAGGAAAAGGCCCACTGGGTGGTCCAGACAGGAAGGCCTGGATTGCTGCCCCACCAGAATCTGCAGCCCTTCCTCAGGGACTACACTTCCATCTTCCCATCTTTTCATTCCATGCCACAGGAATGGACACAGGCTTCACAGGCCCCGATCTGATCCTAGTGCTGGTCTACTGGCCACCATTCTGATAGCAAAGATAGGTACGGGACGTCTATTTGGAGTGATGCACTTGGGCGACTGGACTTACGCCCAAGGGCACAGTTGGGCGCCTTCTCTTGCCGTACAGAAAATGGAGTCCAAGAACGAATGCTTCTCAAGCAGGAGAGCTCAGAATTCCAACACTGGCGCTCACTGCCTTCCTGCTGGCCACTGTCTTTGCATCTCAAGTATGGAGCAGCCTAACAAAGCCTCCACTGTTGAGAAGACTGGCAGAAGGGACCACTAAGTCCTGTAGAGGATGATCTGGAGCAAGGCAAGGAAGCGCTCCCGAGCAGAGGTGGGGTTGGAGCTGCAGGTGTTTCTAATATTCCTGTAAATGGGAGAAGCCATCTTGTTCCTACTGACCCTAATACCCGATGGACCTGTCACGCTCTTGACAGCGCCTGTCATTCCTTTGTTACCTGCATTGGGTGTAAAGATTTGCAGCACAAACTTTCGTTGTGTTTGTCATATTTATCTTGGACAAAAGCAAGAGCCAAAGAAAGAGCAAATATGCACAGGCCTCAGATCCGCATTCTCTAGTCTCAAAGGGTGAGCATTTGAGGCTTACGTGCCAATAATTCATCAATTCTGGCCTTCAGCAAATGCTCGTCCAGGTAGGTGAGCCTGCCCATAAATGGTGGCTCACTAGCTATGCACATGATGTTGCCAGGCAAGCTTCTATCTGCCTCTCAGGCAGAGACAGAGGAAG